GGGTTAGCAAGCTATGTGGAAGAGTAAAATCGTACATCCATATTCTGAACTGAATGTAAGCATTTAAGAGAAAAGCTAGACTTTTACTACTGATAAATGGTTACCAGGGAGAAAAACAAAAAATTATGGTATTTTGTCAGGTGATTCATTGGGGAAATCCAGCATTTCAGCCAAAAAAAATTGTAATGAATTAGCCCCTTTTAAAAATGACATAGAACAGAAGTCATGGTGCCATTTGCAGAGTGCCAGGAAACAATGATTCACAAAACTGACACAATTTCACTAGCAGAAAATGACTTTCACACAAGTTTCAACCATCTTGAATGTGTATCCACGAAAAACCAACTAAGATCAGGTCTTTCCAAGATTGCCCATCATTTACCTTTTGCTATTCACTCAGAAGAATTCCTAGTGCCAACCCCCAATCAAAGGATTTAAAAAATGAGTATTAATGGAAAAACAATTAGTATATTCAAGTCAACTTTTAATTTTGCTACAAGTGGAAAAAGACCATTCTGTATTCAGGAGAAAACATGTTCTGATTTCCAAGAATATGGTTTAACAACCCAGGGATTAGGGGCTATACAGCACGATGGTTGAAATAGGCCTTTTGGGTGGGACTGGACCCAGGTCCCACTAATGCTTGGTTTTCCACACTGTAAAATGGAGATACTCATACCAGTTTTTTGTTTTTACGGGGTTTCAGATATTTCAAAAGGAGACAATGTATTTATAAATGTTTAGCACACTATCTGATACATCCCTGAGTGGGTACATTTTATCTTTATCCCCATTTGTTCCTAGAGTCAATAAGGGTGGTGAAATGGATTAAAAGATGGCCACAAATTATTTGACATCCCTCCCGTCAAGAAATGAGGTTTATGTCCGCTCTCCTTAAATTTGGGTGGCTCTGTGTCTGCTTTATCAGTGGAACAGAGTGGAAGGGATACTGTGCCAGTTTCCAGTACCAGGCCTTTAAGTGACTGCCAGCTTCCATTTCTGTGTCTCTTGAAACACTTGCTCTTAGACCCAGCACCATGGTGTGAGAAAACCGAAGAATCCCCTGAATCCTATACATGGGGAGGAACTTGGACTCCCAGCCGCCGGCCCCAGTTCTCTGGCCAATGTCCACAACTGAGAGCCAAGAGCCAACACTAATT